TGAGCACTGGCCCTGCAGGGAACCTGCCAGTCCACTGGCTGGCTGACACAGGGCCTGTAGAGCCCTGGCCAGTCTTCCCCGACAGGGAATGTTTGTGAAGCCAGCACCACGCTATTGTCACCACACTGATACCACTGTTGTCACCATCCTCACAGGTCCTCCAGGGAGGGGCTCTCGGAGCTCCTCAGCAGAGACAGCAGGTTCAGGGCTGAGACACCAGGCGTGTGGCCGGCGCAGATCTGCAGCATGTGCACCAGACGCTGGGCCATGGTGGCCCGAAAGTCTTCCACCTTCAGGGAAGAGCAGAGAACAGCAGTGAGACAGAATGGGGTGGTGAGCCTTACTCACTCACTTAGAGTAGCCGCGGGGCTGTCAGAGGCAGAGCTGGACACTGAGACGCGGGGGCAGTGTAGGATACCACTGCCCATCCCAGTCACATCCCCGTTCATGCCATACCCCACAAATTGGCTTCCAACAACCTCAGCTCACCCAATCCTTCAACCTCCAGAGACTGTGACGTTCAAGAGGAAATGAAGGCTTAGCAAGCAAGGTTGGCTAGGTCAAGTAAACGATCTAGGGTCACACAGTGATTGTAGGCTGGGGTGTGAACCAGGCCAAGTACCAACCAATGCCTGGGTGGCGCAGGCCCCAGAGGCTCAAGATCCGGAATCTAAGACACTCACAGGGATGGGAAGGAGAGAGAGGCAGAGAGTGGTCTTCACCACAGATAAGGAAGTGCTCTCCAAAAAGACTGGGTCCAGGGGAGCTGTGGGGTAGGGGAGGGACAGCAACATTCTTCTAGGCCCTGGTACTAGCTAGTGCTGGGCAAATAAGAGATGCTCCATAAGCTCTATAAGCTGGAAGAACAAACGATGCTCAGTGTCTTCCCCGGCCTGCTCTCTCTCTAGCTAGGGGTTGGGGGTGGTGTCACCATTCAAATTCGAGAATTAGAGACTGGGGCATCTTTAACTCTCCTCTCTTACTCTCACCACTTGTCACCTATGACCTCTTTGGTAGGAAGTCCAGTGGCAACTTCTCAGTCCTCACCTCAGTGGGCTTTTCAGCAGAATCGGACAGAGCTGCTCACTTTTTCCTGGAAGCGCTTTTCTCCTACCTGGCTCCTGGGACCTCACACTTACCCAGGTTCCCTCCCACTCGCCCCCCCAGCCCCCTCCTCTTTGCTCAACATCTAAATGTTGGGGTCCTTGGCTCTTTTCTCCCACAACTCAATCCTTAAGTGACCTCATCCTGTTCTACGACTTGAAAACCACCTAACCGCCAATGATTGACAACGTTACACCTCCGGACCTTCCATCTGAATGTCAGACACTTGCAGGCAGCTGTTCACTTGATTTCTCCACTTTGACAGCTAATAGACACCTTAGTCCTCTAAACCCTGCTTCTCTTTCAGTCTTCTTCATCTTAGCCAAAGACAACTCCATCTTGCTAGTCAGCCAGGCAAAACCTTCGGAGTTGTTGTGGACTCTTCTTTCTCTCATGTCTCACATCTTAGCCATGGCACATTCTGTTGGCTCCACCCTGGAAACAGCCAGTGTCATAGACCATCTCATCCCCCTCTTCCCTGGCTGCCACCAACTCCAGGTTACTCTTACCTCCTCCAGAAAGAGCCTCCATACCTTCCCATATTTGCCCTTGCCTCCCTTCAGTCTACTCTCCTTCCAGCAGCCAGAGGGGTTCATTTAAAATCAGTCAGGGCAGGGCACAGTGGCTCACACCTGTAATCCCAGCACTTTGGGGGCCAAGGCATGAGGATCACTTGAGCTCTGGAGTTTGTGACCAGCCTAGGCAACATAGCAAGACCTCGTCTCTACAAAAAGTCAAAAAATTAGTCAGGCAGAGCGGTACATGACTGTAGTCCCAGTTATTTGGGAGGCTGAGGTAGAAAGATTGCCTGAGCCCAGAAGATCAAAGCTGGGGTGAGCCGTGATCACGCCACTGTACTTCAGCATGGGGATAGAGTGAGATTTCAACATAAAAAATAAAACTCAAGTCAGGCCACATTCCTCCCCGGCCCCAAACTCTTCAACAGCTCCCCACAAGACCCTATTGATCTGGCCCCTGTTCCTCTGACTCATCTCCTGCCATCTGCCCATTGTTGATGTGCTCCAGTCACCCAGGCCTCCCTGCCAGACCTTAAGCACACCAGGCAAATTCCAAACTCAGGGCCTTTGCACGTGCTGTTTCTCCTGCTACCAGGTATCACCATGGCTTGCCTTTCTACTTTCTTCAAGTCTTCATTTAAAAGCCATGTTTGTGGCCGGGCTCGGTGGCTCAGCCTGTAATCCCAATGCTTTGGGAGGCCGAGGTGAGTGGATTGCCTGAGCCTTTGGGTTTGAGACCCACCTGGGCAACTTGGTGAGACCTCATCTCTACAATAAAAAAAAAAA